TCCAATATGGCACCCCATTGACACACCACGGACTCGGTCTGGAGAGCGGTTGTGCGCGCAGACGTAGCAGATCACCACGGCAGATTTGTAGGGATCCTCCTGGCCGACCTAAGCAGTGCTATGAACACATCTCACATCGCATTATGTTGGCTGGAGGATCCAGATGCGATTTTCCTCTTTTTGCCCTGCGAGCGTCCTTGGACACGTACCGATGGCCGCGCAGGGTACTCATGGACCAGGTGGTAGGAGACGCGGTCGACCCGCACCGAGGGATTGTAGCTGGCTCTTCGACGGCAACGTTCGAGGTGAAAGGTTACATGCTCCCGACGATCCACGAGACTCGGATTGATAACGACACCAGCATATCGATTCACATAGATGATATTACTTTCGATTCGATAGGCGACGCGATCGAGAAGCGCTTGGATGGGTTCGCTGATTTGGCGGGCCGAGTTTTCGCTAAGTTCAACTATGCCTTGGAGTTGCCTACCCACATGGAAAAATTGAACGTCGCGTCCAACGGCATCGAGGTCATGCAACAGGCCCCGATTGCCTTAGGCGAATATTCTGGAACGATAGCGAACTCGATCACGAACCTGGCGGTTGACTTTAACGTGGGCAAGGTCAGGGCCACCAAGGGAGGTCGGTCGAACAAATCACCCAGATGGAAAGCGCATTGCAGGAGATTGCCGAACATTCGTAGACTCAGGGGCCGTGCGCTTGGACGACCGCAGAAGGTGAAGATCTACACGTGTGAGTTGAAACCGTCTATCTGTTATGGCGAGGAGGTCCACGGCCACCACCCCCAGGAGCTGAAGAAGCTCAGAGTGCAGACGGCTAGGCTTTCGGGATTTTGGTCTTCAGGAGCAGATATTGATGTAGCTTGGCCGTTCAAGCCTACGGCGGACCCCATCCACAATGCTGGCTCCACCCTTCGCAGATATTGCAGGGAATGGTGGATGTCGACGGACAAGCAGATACGCGCGCCTGACACCCTGACCCCCAAAGAGCTACGTTTGAGTTTCGAGCACTCCCTCGACTTCTTCGAGAAAGTTCCTCCAGACAAAGGTTGGCCGCGCCGAGTTAGGGGCCCCACTGCAGATGTTCTCTTCTGGACCGAGCAGGCAGGCTGGAAGTGTAAGGGCCCAGCCAAGCTGATCGCCGTGAACCGGCTCGAGCTCAATGTCACGGAGTCTTCGCCAGCCTTGATGCAGAAAAGGTCTACATCAGGTTTAAATAGCAACTTCCTGGGACGTGCTGTTCGGAGGGAACTTCCGTATCCTGATGGCCCAGGTGAAGATATCCATCCCACGGCTAAATATATGCGGGGACGAGGCCTCTGGGGGCATCCAATATGTAATGCCTGGAACAATACGAAATGGATTTGCTCAGCAAAGCGCATCATGGAACACTTAGTCAACGGGGCCACGCCGACGAGCCACCTCCTATGGAAGCGCGGCTTCAAGGTCGAGCCGATCTGCCCGTGCTGCGGCTTGTGCGACACGATCTATCATAGTCTCTGGCACTGTCCATGCGGGGATCCAGCCAGGAATGAAATTGATCAAGTCATCCAGGACGCGGCCCGCAATTCGGTGGGTAAGGGCCCCTTGTGCACAAGCCTCTGGGCCCCCGTGCCAGAAATAAAGCAGCAGCCCCCCGACGATGACCAAGTAGAGTACATCGACAGGGGGGGCGATTTGGGGGCGCTATCGTCTGAGCTTGATTTAACATGCCCCTACAGATCTTCACCGTATGGGGACGCTACTCTCTCTGCCTGGAAACTACAGGCCTGTGCTTGATTCTCCTGAACTGGACCAGCTCGTGCCCTGATCTGGGCGGTTGTCAGAATAGTCTGCTGGTGTCGACCCTAAAACGCCGCTGTTAGGTGTCCACTTGCCGGAGAGTTTTCACCAAAGTGCGTCCTGGGTTTCTCTGTACCACCGGCGTGGCCTCTCAGGGACTTCCGACACCTCTGGCAGAGCCCAGCGAGATTCGATTGAAGAAGAGACGTGTTGCCGACTGCCAGGCCCTGCTGACGGGGATGTTGCCTTGTTCGTTCCGATGCCTAGATGGCAGCGTCCCAACAGGCGGTTGCACTGTGGCAATGGCGCGCCGATTTAGAAGTTAGAATAAGAAAGTTCACTACAACTAAGGTAAAGGTCTCACCAATCACTTTTACGTGGAGATCGTGAATGGGCGCAGCAACTTATTGTTTTGGGCAATGGTTGGGCAGATGTTCTGCGTCGTGAGGCCGCCAGAAAATTCGCCAGCCCCCAGGATGCCGATGCAGTAAAAGATTCTTTAGATGGCTGGTTCGCCGTGCTCAAGGCTGCCGCTTCAATCCTTGAGCTTTGGCCGTCGGCCCGCGAGATGCACGGAACCCTATACAAAGAGTCGGAGAGTTTAAGGCCACCCCCCCCAAACATAAGGCAGCATAATGTCCTGTGGAATGGTCGTCTCTGGCAGTGCTTGGCTTGCGCCAAGAGCTTCAAAGCCCCGCCATCGAGAGAATCCAAATGTGCTGCCTTCCCACTCAGTTTTGGGGCCCTGGTTAGCGGTAAAAACCTGCCAGCACCAGGGCACAAATTGTGGGCCGCAAAAATAGAAAGCTCGGGCATTCCTGTGTTGTATTGCTCCAGGTGCGGTTCCTATTGCACCAGGACTCCCAGGCATCTCCTCGGCCCCTGTGGACATAAGAAAATAACCCAGGTTCGTGATTTCCGCCGCGGGAGACCCCCGTGGCCAAAAGGCACCCGCTTGTGCCGCCCCTGGCGCGTCCTCCACAGTCCAGCAGCGTGGTGGCATGACCAGATAGGCGAGATGCGGGGTGCCCCAATGTAAATTTTGCCCGGATCAGTCAGCGAGTGTGCTTTTATTTTGTTTCTGCCTATCGCGCACGGCCCGATGAGACTGACCCTCAGGGCAGGCATCCGTGTGCTTACCCCACATCTGGGGCGCGGCCTGCCACCGTCCAGGCGCTGCCTGCACCTGGGGTGGCAGGTCGCGTCGTCCTTGTGTGGGTGGTCGAAGGCTTTGTCATGGGTTTGTCTGTGAAGGAGGAGGCGTCGTGCCTCTTAGTGCATTTCAGCTTTGGCCGTGCCCCCCCCGCCTGCACCCCTCCCGTCGCTTTTCTTTGCTGGGCCCCTGGGGGATCGCTGGGCGGGGGTGGGGCGTCCTTCGGGGATGCGGCCAGCGGATTGCCCTTCGAGCCCTCTGGAGCCCTCTGCAATGCCCCAGGGCTCTGGGCTTCGTGATTGTGCCAGCCTATCGCGCACGGCCCGATGCGACTGACCCACTGGGCAGGCATCCGTGCGCTTACCCCACATCTGGGGCGTGGCCTGCCACCGTCCAGGCGCTGCCTGCACCTGGGGTGGCAGGCCGCGTCGTCCTTGTGTGGTGGTCGAAGGCCTTGTTTTTTGAGGAGGAGGTGACCTGTTGCCTCCTCTTGCATTTCAGCTTTGGCCGTGCCCCCCCCGCCCGCACCCCTCCCGTCGCCCTTCTCTGCTGGGCCCCTGGGGGATCGTTGGGCGGGGGTGGGGCGCCCTTCGGGGTTGCGGCCTGCGGATTTCCCCTCGAGCCCCCAAGAGCCTTCTGCAATGCCCCAGGGCTCTGGGCTTCGTGGGTGCGGGGCCTTGGCCCAGGAGAGGCCGAGGCCCCGCTCGTCAGTTTTGCTGTGAGGTCAGGCGAGCTTCGTTTGGCTGACCTCCTAAGGCCCATGAATGAATGAATGAATGAATGAATGAATGAAGGAGGGGGAGGAGGGGGAGGAGGGGAGGAGGAAAAGGAGTACCCCCTCCCCCTCCTACTTATGGTGGTGGCGGTGGAAAACAAGCCTACCGCCCCCTTCCCCTCTTCCCCCTGGAGCACCACAGCTGCGCAGGCCAGAGCAGGGGGCCGCGCAGCACCGGTGCGCGCAGGCCCTCGTGGGGGGCTGCTCCAAGAGAGCGAGAAGGTCAGACACCTCCCTTGCCCCACCTCCTCTTTCCCCGACCTCTCCTCCCCACCACATCGTCCCCTCCTCCTTCCTCCTTCTCCTCCTCCTCTTTCCTTCCCCTCCTCCTCCTCCTCCTCCTCCTCCTCCTCCTCTTCCTCTTCCTCTTCCTCTTCCTCCTCCTCCTCCTCCGCCTCTTCTTCCTCCTTCCTCTCCGTACCATCAGCTGACCCACGTTTCATCGCCGGAAAACACGCGCCGATCTATTCCAGGGCACGTGTCGGGGCTCCCAGGGCCGCCGAATGCCTCCGAGCGCCTCCCTCTAGACCTCCTAGATGGGGTCCGAGTAGACTGGGGTCGGAGGATCGCGCCGAGTCGCCGATGCATCGACGATGGGGCTCGATGCGGAGCCCGAGTTGCTTCACGCCGACGTCGCCGATGCATCGCCAGCGTCGCTGGTGAACCCCACTGCATCGGCGATGCATCGGGGGTGCATCGGCGATGCAATGGCGGTGCGGTGCGATCCTCCGACCCTATCTTCTCCGACCCCATCTAGGAGGCCTCTGCTCCCGTGCCCTCCGGCGGCCTCTGAGGGGCCGGCGCCCCCACCCCGAGCCAGGTCGGGCTTCATCAAGCTGTGGAAGGCGCCTCCTCTACCGCGCGGGCGGCGCGCGGGCCAGAGACTGCCCTGGGTGTCGTCGGGCCGCCAGGGGGTTCGAAGAGGAGGAGGAGGAGGCGGAGTTGGAGGAGGAGGAGGAGGAGGAGGAGGAGGAGGAGGAGGAGGAGGAGAATGAGGAGGAGGAGAGGAGGAGGAGGAGGAGGAGGAGCGAGGAGGAGGAGGAGGAGGAGGGGAGAGAGGAGGAGGAGGAGGAGAGGAGGAGGGAGGAGGAGGAGGATTAGCAGAAGAGAGATGAGCCGGACGTGGAGGAGGAGGAGGAGAGGAGGAGGAGGAGGAGGAGGAGGAGGAGGAGGAGGAGGAGGACCCCTGAGATCCTGACCTGGCGATCTTTGACCTACTTTGGACCGTAGACTCTCGCGGATCGATTTCGCTCAAAAAGTGCCGAGGGAAGACGGGGTCCAAAGCTGCGGTCGTGGACCGCACATTGAGACAACCGGGACATGATGATGATGATGATGATGATGATGATGATGATGATGATGATGATGATGATGATGATGATGATGATGATGGATGATGATGAGGAGGAGGAGGAGGAGGGAGGAGGAGGAGGAGGAGGAGAGGGAGGAGGAGGAGGAGGAAGGAGTGGAAGGGAGGCGGAGGAGGGAGGGGGAGGAGGAGGAGGAGGAGGAGGAGGAAGGAGGAGGAGGAGGAGGAGGAGGAGGGAGGAGGAGGAGGAGTGAGGAGGAGGAGGAGCGGAGGAGGGGAGGAGGAGGAGGAGGATGAGGAGATGAGGAAGAGGGGAGGCGTGAGGCGGCGGAGTGAGGCGGAGGAGGCGGAGGAAGATGCGAGGAAGAAGAGGAGGAGGGAGGAGGAGGAGGAGGAGGAGGAGAGGAGGGGAGGGAGGAGCGTGGGAGGAAGGAGGAGGAGAGGGAGGAGGAGGATGAGGAGGAGGAGGAGGAGGAGGAGTCGGCGCGTATGGCGTAGGCGGAGGCGGAGGCGGAGGCGGAGAGGAGGCGGAGGCGTGGCGTGCGCGAGCGAGGAGGAGGGGGAGCAGGGCAGAGTTCGAGGAGGTGGAGGAGGCGGAGGTGTGGAGGAGGAGGACGGCGGAGGAGAAGGAGGAGGAGGAGGATGAGAGGAGGAGGAGGCGGAGACCGAGGAGGGAGGAGGGAGGCGGAGGAGGAGAGGAGGCGGCGGAGGAGGAGGCGGAGGAGAGGAGAGGAGGATGAGGAGGAGGAGAAGGAGATGAGGTGATGAGGATGAGGAGGGAGGAAGGAGGAGGGTAGAGAGGGAGGAACATAGAGGAGAGGAGGAGGACGGAGAGGAAGAGAGGAGGAGGGAGGGAGGGAGGAGGGATGGAGGGAGGGAGGGAGAAGGGAAGGGAGTAGGAGGAGGATGAGAGGAGGCGGGGGAGGAGGGGAGGAGGAGGAGGAGGAGGAAGCGGAGGGGGAGGATGAGAAGGAGGAGGCGAAAAGGAGGAGAACATGAGGAGGAGGCGGAGGAGAAGGAGGAGCATGAGGAGGAGGAAGGAAGGTGGAAGAGGAGCGGCGGAGGAGGCGGAGGAAGAGGAGGCGGAGGAGGAGGAGGCGGAGGAGGATGAGGAGGAAGATCAGGATGATGAGGAGGAGGAGGCGGAGGAGGAGGAGGAGGAGCCCTGAGATGCCGACCTGGCGAATTTTGACCAACTTCGGGCCGTGGACCCTCGTGGATCGATCCAGCTCAAATGGCCGAAGGACGACTGGGTGCAAAGCTGCGATCGTGGACCCGACATTGAAGCACTCGGGACATGGTATTTCGGGAGGAGGGGGAAGAGGAGGAGGAGGAGGAGGAGGAGGAGGAGGAGGAGGAGGACCAGTGTAAACCCAAGCGTCACCGACGATGTTGGAGTAAACACTCCCCCCAAACCTTCTTCACAGGCCCCTGCAAAGGATCATTTCCATTGATGGAACATCATCGTTGAAAGAGACCCGTTTGAAGACCCTGAAGCATGCCAAAACATTGTTCTCGGGATTCCAACGACACGGATCAACCTGATTGCTGCGTCTTGACGATTCGAAATCGTGCCAGAACGCCATCCCTTGGAAGTCAGCATAGATAATCAACTGTTGCACCCGCCTAATCCTGAATCCTTCCGAAACACCATTTCTGGCAGGTTGATGATGGAATCCGTGAAATTCTTGAACATGTGGTAAATGAATGTGCGCGGCGCTAAGGCGAGAGCCACATATTGAAAAGGAACCGCCCTCAGGCCGTGCAACTCTTGCAATTGTTTACAACGAATCTGCGCCGCGCTAAGGCGATAACCACATTTTGAAAACCGCCCGCCTTCAATCCGTAAAACCCTTGCAATTTTTAAAAAAAAACGAATTTGCGCCGCGCTAAACCGAGCGCCACATGTTGAAAACCACCCGCCCTCAATCCGTGAAGCCCTGGATACTTTTTGAAAAGAATGTGCGTCGCGCTAAGGCAAGAGCCACATTTTGAAAACCACCCGCCCTCGATCCGTGAAGCTCTTGCAAGTTTTTGTTAAACGAATGCGCGCCGCGCTAAGGCGAGAACCACCTTATGAAAACCACCCGCCCTCCATCTGTGAAGCTGTTGCCGATGGTTAAGCTTCAGCGTCGTAACTGGTGAGGAAGTCTCAGGCGAAGCGCCCGGCCCGCCCTAAAAACTGGCCTCGGGGTGCGACGGGGAGAAGTTAGTTATAAGGAAAAGTAATGGAGGAGGAGGAGGAGGAGGAGGGGGAGGAGGAGGTCCACGTCCAGCATCCCCAACCGAACCCTGTAGGAACGGGAGGGGGCCGAATGGAGTAGAAGAGTGGAACGGCCACCACCGACCGAGACACCGCGGAGCTCGGACGTCGAGGGGTAGCAGCCTCCTCGCCGCTGGCGCAGGCAGCCTGTCGCGGGAACGCGGCGGGCCGAAGGCCAGGAGCGCGTCGATCGAGCGG